AAATGGTATTTCTGAGAAGTATGTGCTGCTGCTTTTCCTCAGCTGTGGTTTCATGCAAGACTTCAACAGCAATATTCTTTCAAGGCCACCTATCTTCCCTTTAATCATTCCATTGACACACCATCCAGTGTGTCTGGGATCTGGGAACTGAGCTGGACTGAAAACCAGAAAAGGTGAAAAATTACATTAATTTATAGTGCCATCACTTCTCTTCCTTCAAGGTTATACTGGCATGACTGAAGGATTTGCACACTAGCAAAGGATGAAGAGCCATATACTATTATTGCAACAAACTTTCTGTCATGAAACCATCATTTTATTGGGCTTTATCTACAAGTTCCAAGCTGTTCAATGCTAGTTTCTCAGCACATTGCTGTTAAGCGTTTGCTGGATGTATTGGTAAAAAGGGCAAAAGTTAAGAGTTCTGCTCACTCCATTAAGATGAAATGGAGGAGCAAAGACAAGATATGGGTAGGATGCATAGAGCAGAATGGATAGGAAGAAGAGTATGAATAATACTCATTCTTTAATTAAAAAGGGTGGGTTTTTTCTCATTGAACGATAAGGTTCTGAACTAACTAAAAATTGCTGTAGTTCCTGAAGGTGGCTTTCAAAATCTGATCTTTATGTAAACTTAGTGCTAGCGTTAGAGTTCTACTGTGGTTTATGATTTTATGTGAACATGTATGTACATGGTTGATAGATGATCTTTTTATGTAAATAAAAACCATAAATTGGACTCTATAAAAAAGAATTTGACAGTCTTTTACTTGAGACAGTGTGTGAGTATATATGTCTGGCTTTATTTTTAAGAGTTCTCTTGCATTTTTGGTATAATTCTGCCTAAGTATTTAAATGATAAATTTCATAATTTTAAGAAACAAATGACAAGTCTAAATACACTGTTTAAAATGTAACGGTATAGTACCAAAAGTTTTTCTTACAGCTTTACAACTGTTTTTCTTTTGTATTTAAGGTGGCTTAAGACATGCAGTTGCCAGTATATCGGGACTTGAGGCTTACAAGTACCTGAAATTTGAAGGAGGAGTGCATCGTGTTCAGCGGGTGCCAAAGACAGAAAAACAAGGACGCATTCACACTAGCACAATGACTGTTGCCATATTACCCCAACCCACCGAGGTAATATTTATTTCTTAGTATAACAGACTTTAACATGAGCAATGTTTTACATGCGTTATTGCTGATACCAAAGTATTTTCTGTCTCTTTGTTATTCTCTCTTAATGATTTTTTTTTTTAAATCTTAGTTTTAAACTAAGTCATATTTGTTTATTTTTGTCTAGGGGACTGAAATAAGGAATTTCTGTTTTTTCTCATAATCTTAATCTCAAGAAAGTCACTGGCAGTTTACTTCACTATAACTTGCAAATTCACTGTGACTGTGTCTTGCATGTTTTGTGGAAAATGACAGTTTTTACAAAGTAACAAAAGACTGAATTACTTTACAGAGATCATAATTTCTTTTAGCACTTCGTTTTTCCCATTTTTGTAGTGTTTTGCTTTCCCCTTCTAAAGTGTATGGGTGATAATTAATTCTTGCCATATTTGCTTAGTTAAAAATAACTGGTTAAGAATTAAAGCTTTGTTTTGATCTTTATTTTACGTTGACCTCACAAGTTGTCAAAGATGTTACTCCTTCCTATTCTCTCCCAAAGTTGTCTCACTGCTTCCTCCCAGAGCCCATCACCCCATTCTAGAGCCAGCAAAGGGAATATGTTCGTTTCATCTAAAAAACATGTTCAAATATTGGTTAACTGCTGGAAGAGGCTGCAGAGCTTTCAGAAGAGGGGGAAGATTAGTGCTAAGGGATAGTTATGCCTTAAACTACTATTAATCTGATTTTCTGGCTTCCATCATGTTACATTCCAATCCAGCTACAAGGGTTTGTTAATATAAGTTTGATATATGCTACCGCTCATAAACCTTAAAGTTTGATCTTGCCTGCATGTGCCTTATAAAATAAACTAACTATGTATATTTGACATTTGCTTAGAAAGAAACCACAGAAATGTGTTCTTTTTTTGTTTTATTGGTTGTTTTTTTTTTCTGTCTCCCGTGACAGATGAGGCTGCAAATTAATCCAAAAGATCTACGGATAGAAACAAAGCGAGCTAGTGGAGCTGGAGGCCAACATGTCAATACCACAGACAGTGCTGTACGGATAGTTCATATTCCAACAGGTGCTTCATTTTTTCCTTAGTACAAGGTCTACATTGCATAACTGCTGTCAGAATTTCTTTTGAAGCAATGGTTTTATTTTCAAACCTGGACAACAGTAGAGCAGAGTTTTCATACAGTTTTCATGTGTGTTTATAGTACTCCAAATGCACCATTTTGTGCCCACTGCAGTTTGTAATAGTGAAGAGTACTGGCTTCAGTAGGTAAGCTATCCATTTTGCCATTAAGCCTGACACTAAAAGCATCCAGATCAATTACTATGAAAAAAGTTATATTTAAGCTTTCAAGCAATGGAAAAGAAACTGAAAAACAGAGTACGTTAAAATCTGATGATTTGCCTTTTCTTGACTAGTCTCCGAAAGAGAGATTTTTCTATTTCCATATTAAAATGTTGCTTTTAATTGCAGAGTCTGCTGAGGGTGCCAGTTTCCATTTGTCTGCTGGCTCCTTTCCCATAGGTTACACACATAATTAGGAGGCCTATCCCCAAGGCTCAGGTGAGGAAACGTAGGAGGGATAAGAAAGATACATCCTCTAGTACTACCTGATTTTAACTATCATATCTTTTTTTTATGGCCATTCCTAAGCTTTTTATTTCCCTTTGAGCAATCCACAACAGCTGCCTTGACTTTCATTGCTTTTTAACTTTTCCTCTTCTCTACCACAAACATTAGTCAGGTTTTACAGCCTCAGGGTAATCCTGAGTGCTCTTTATCTTCATGTATCCAGATTTTTGCCACCCATTTCTTCATATTTATTGAAGACATTAATCCATTCTGCACTTGTTGCATCACCTCAGTAAAGCAGAAGGTAAACAGTGGAGAGGATAGAATTCTGTTCAAGATAAGTATTCCAGATTCAGAAAGTTTTGGATTGCTTCCAGGTTTGGAAAAAAAACCACAAAATAAAACCAGCAAATAATATTAGCTTTTGCTGGAGGTAGTTAATAGTGCTTGTTACAGAAATCTGAAAAACATATTGCAAATTTTGTGTGGTTATGCACTAGAGATGGTTCATAGAGAGTTTTATATCTCACCTTATCTCCTGACTTTTTCCTATTCCATCTTTCCCTTCTTCATTCCTTTTGATCTCTCTTGCTTTTCAGTTGTCCTGTTATTACTTCTGTTTCTCTCATCCCAACTCTTTATATACCTTCATTGCAATCCAAAAAGTTGTTTGCAAACAAGTCTTCCGTAAAGTAATACTATGTAATCTTATAAAGGCATACTGTAATCTTACCAGAGTTACTTAAAATAAATCCAAGTAACAACTTTGCTTGTGCTTTCTTCTTCCTGTATTTCTTATCCCTATTCCTTTCTTAGGTTGTTCACTTCTCATCTTAACTTGAGTTATATGTTCTGGGGGGAGAAGCCACACCTTTTTTTCAAGAAAATAGTGCCCATTTTTGTATATTCTGATCATATTCTGTACAGTCACTATCTCATGTATTTTACTGCTCCTTAAATCCTAAATTTCTTGAAACTGTGAGCAAAAATTACAAGTATGAAAGGTGTCTTCTGTAAGTCAGATCACATCACTTATCTTTTATTTCATTATCTACCTGTTGTCCAACATATTGAATTAAATTTCTTGGTTTATGTCTTAAAGCACCTGTACAGCTCAGCCTGTACTTCCCTCCCAGAATGTAGCATTAGACATTAATAAGCCTGGACTTTTACATTCCCAATCATAAATATGTGTTGAAGAAAGAAACAGCTTACTGTAACATAATAAAAATCTTGTAGAAATTGCAAAACCGTTCTAGCATGTGTTACTGTTAAATGTCATGATATTTTTGGCAGGGATTGTGTCTGAATGTCAGCAAGAAAGATCTCAAATTAGAAACAAAGAGAAGGCTATGCAAATGCTCTGTGCTAAACTATACAATGCCAAACTGGAAGAAGAAACCAAAAAGAGAACCAGTGTTCGAAAGATTCAAGTAAGTTTCACTTAGTAAAGATATAATTCTGTACAAGCATATGTTCTTGGGGTAACTCCTGTGTTGAACTGCAAATAATAAATGCAAATATGGAGGAACAGGATCCTAGGAAGGACTTACACAAGGAAAAAAAAATTCCATTCTACTTCTACAGTAAAGGTTGCATTCTATCTTAACCAGACTTAAAATTTCAGTATTATGTAAATTCTAGCGATTTAATAAAACAAACTGGATTACAGCATGAAGAACTGGAATAGTATTAGGAAAAGATGCAGTAAAAATTGTTCTTTTGCATATTTGAGAAAAATTACTGTGACTGTTGAATTCGTCTGAGTACTATGTAACTATAACAAATTTTGGATAATTGTGGGAGGAAAAGAAAGCTTTTGCTTTAGATGCTTAATATTTCATACCTTTTATGAAAAGATGATGATGATAAACTGGTTCTTCTTCTCTGATAGATTGGGACTAAAGGAAGATCGGAGAAGATCAGAACATACAACTTCCCACAGGACCGGATTACTGATCACAGGATAAGCAGATCAGTGCATCATATTGAGTGTTTCATGCTAGGGGAAGAAATGCTAGATGAAATGATACAGGCTCTCAAAGAATATGCTGATTATGAATCTTTAATGGAAGTTATTTCAGAAAATGAAAAAAAGAATCTATCCTGAACGTTGCTCTTTTGTCAGCCCATTACAACAGAGGTAGACATTTGTCTGCAAAGGAGCTTCTTGGAGCACCACCCAGAAAACGCAACTGCTTTTCAGATCATGAAAGACACCACAACTTGTTTCCTCATGACTGATAGACAGTGTTCTTACTTGAGCAAAAGACTTTATTACTTTCATATGAGACATTATTGCTGGAGCAGTTCACTTAAAAAGTAAATTTGACTGGGCCAGAAGTAACTGCAGTTACTTTCTCCACTGAGAAGATACAGATACACCAATTTCGAAAGGTATGCATTCAAAAAATGAGCTATTTCTAGTTCAGTTTTTCATTTAAACAATAGTTTAAACATCAATACAGTGTCAGATAGCTTACTTGAGAGAAGAAAAAGATCCTGTTTTGTTGGAGTGATTGGAAGAAAGTGACAAATAAATGACCCCACTACTAATCTGCATATTGATTAATCACTTCTGCGTGGCATGGGAGAGGGAGTCAAATTGTATCTCCATGTTTTCAGAGCCTTCTGGCCCATATTAATAAACATTAAAAAATGTTTAGGAATATCACTTGTTTCAAAAAAAAGCTCTGAAAGCCAAGTGACGACTTATATGAATTGTTTTTGAAAAGGATGCTTCTGAGTGAAAAGTGAAGAGAATCTTTACAGTATTGTTTGGCTGATATTTCAAGTCTCCATTTGGCTTCAGCTCAGTTTTTCCTTTATGTTTTTAATTGATCATCCACTTTATTAATTTTGCTAAATGTTACATGGTTTTGTCTGTTTGTTTAACAGCAGCTTAAAACATTTGATCTGTGAAAACAAAGTAGAACTTTTGCATTTCTAATCTGCTGATACATGTGCACATTTACATCTGTGTATAAAGAAGACTTTAAACGTTTTAGATTTAATTTTACAATCTGAAATACAGCAGTACAAAACCCGCAGGTTCCATGCCACACTATCCCATCATGCATTGCACCTATGCATGTGTGTATACATACACAGAATGTATCTGAAATATAAATAACCAGTAAATAAGAAATTGAAACCCTAGGAAAAATATTATCATGAATATAGGGGTGTTTACTTTCAGACTCCTAATAAAAATTAGTGTGAGAAATTAGAATAGAAACAAAGTGTTTGCTACAGATAGCTTATAGAAATGCATTATTTAAACATCCTGTATAAAAATCAACTGTTATCAGTTTATTATCCTATTTTACATTTGAGACTGCAGTTGGAACCAATGCATGTCAAAAACCACGTAGCATCATTTAATATTTTTATCAGCTTTGTTTTCTAGGAAATGCTGTATGGTAACTATAATTAAGTTCCAAATCTTTAATTAAAAGATGCATATAGTAATTTCAGATGTAGGAGTGTCTGTATGCACACATACTTCCTGTTGGCAAGCATGAGACATAGTAAATCTAGACCTAGGAGATTCACACCTCCTGCACATAAGAAAGTAAAAATAAACATTGTTGCATTTTGTGTGTAAAATAAGTAGATATTGATTGGAGCAGAAACTAGGACTTCAGGTCTTTATTCCTAGCAAATCACTACTGTAAATGGAAGACTACAGAGCACTTGTGACAGTTGTTTTGACTTCACTTAAAGCTGGGCTATCTTATACTAAGTGATGGATGGAGTTTGCGATTCCTTCTAATTTCAGCTTCATCTTTGTCCAAACAAGTAAGGGCCATCAGCAGGTCTAAGCACTGAACTACCTCCTGAAACCTATATGAGTGTTTCAGTCTGTCACCCTAGACCTTCCCTCATGTCCCAGCTGGTGGCCTGGTGAGGTCAAATCCCACCAGGCTCCTGAACAGACACCAGATGTGGTATTGCCTTGCAAGTGGCCAGCCTCTGATCAGTGTGAGAAAAGCCAGGTATCCTGTGACTCTGGCGGGAGGCTGACAGGTATCCCAAAACTGGCATCTGACAGTGGCGTACAGGGTGGACTTCACCATCTTGAGTGGTACCTCCTTGGCCTGTCATGGCAAGCTTTGCTGCATAGAGACTTGAAGTCCCTTTCTTGCTCCATATTAATTTTAATTTAAGGTCTGTTGTCTCATTTGTAAATGCACCCCCCGGGCTGTGAGAAGATTGTTTTTTTCAGCAGCAGTAGGAGCCCAGCACTGGCGTCCAATCTGCTCAGCTCCCAGTAGCGCTCCTCCTCACCCTGCCAGCTACTAATAGCGTTGATCGTACTTTAAAATAAATGCAGTTCTTCCACGGGGCGGAACCCAGATGTAAGATCCACCGCCAGACTTAAATCCTTCCCCGGTAGCGGAGCTTTCCACACCTGGGGCATTGCAAGAGGCGTGTGCCGGGATGGTGGGGAGATGCCAGACGCAGCCCGTTACAAAGGCAAACGCAGATGTAGTTGGGCGCCCGGCACCCCCGCGGCGCAAAAGTCGAGTTGTCCGGGGAGAGCGCCCCGGGCCGGGCGGGAGGAAGGGGCGGGC